TGTTGTGTGCAATTTGCCCGTTTAGACAACTTGAAATCTCATTTGAAAATTCATGTCAAAGAGAAACAGCTACAGGAAGCCAACACTGCATCCAACAATAGCAGTACAGAGGACGTCAGGAACATTCTTCAGCTGCAGCAGTATCAACTTTCTACCTCTGGACCCGAAGAGATCCAGCTGTTGGTGACAGATTCGGTGCACAACATAAACTTTGTGCCTAGCCATAATCAAGGCATTAGCGTTGTCACTTCAGATGATTCCCAAAATGTGATGGCAGAGCACACAGGCAGCCTTACTCTTCTCACTCAGCCCTCACAGCAGCTGCAGAACCTGCTTCTTTCAGGCCAAACAGAACCCACAGACCAGATTCAGAATATCAGCATTGTGAATGACCCAATGGATTCTCCGCAGACTGAACAAATGCATGTCATCACATTGTCTAAAGAAGCTCTGGAACATCTTCATGCCAATCAGAGTCAAGCAGACGTGCTTCAAATAGCTACAGGAACACCGCATCCAACCCCGCATCTGCAGATGGCCCAAGAACCTAGCCAACAGTTTCGCATTAGCCAAGATACAATTCTACCTCCTCAAATTAGCAAGGGACAGACCCAAACTGTACATATCTCCAATTCACCTCAGCAGCCTCTAACTGTAAACCAGCCATCTGGAGATCATCACCCTGAGGGGCAGACTTTTTAAAATACAAGCTGATTTCCTTCTTAGATGTATTTATTTATCAAGATGAAATAAGATCCTTCATGTGAAATGCATTATATATACAGTATTCACTATTTAATTTCACATGCTGGTAATGTTGGCTGTTGGCTTAACAGCAATGGGTTTATGCATTTTTATTTTGCAGATTTATCAATTTAGATATATGCTGAAAGAATGGCTTTTTAACCAGTGTTCTATGCATTTTGCCTGAACTGCAATAAAATATTAAAAGAACATGGTACAAGCCTACTTATGCATTTTGCCATCTCAGTTATTTCAGTGAGAAAGAACAATGCATGCTTAATTTTTCCACTGACAATGATGGGATGTAAAATTGCCTTTGAATAGACTTATACTGTATATATTTAACAAGCCTATCAACTGATATACATATAGTATTTTTTCCTCCTATATGCTCATTAGTTTGGGCTAAAGCAAGCCCATGTTTGGATTTTTTTAAAATATGGATCAGTCTCTTTGTGTCAATTAAGACTCTGTGAGAATGTTTTATGAGAAGATTTTAACATGCGTGTGTAAAATAAGAGGAATTTTTGCAACTTTTTGCAAAAATAAATGTATAATTTCAAAAAACAGAAAAAAATAAAGCTGCATTTCCAAACAGATGGGCATAGCCTCTCCTAAGTAATGATAACAGGCTTACCAAACCATTGCTTTGTTTTGGTTATGCTTTCATTAGCTTGTTTTAATGTATACACGTCAGTTCAGTGCTCAACTTCCCTAGGCTTAACTGGCACAAATCAATCCTGGTATTGGCTTATCAGAGCAAACACAGGCATTGTGATTTCTCCTTTCTCTTGTACTTTTTATATTCTGGTGCATAAGCAGTATACACGTTGCTGTACTAAAATAAAAACAAATGAATGTTTCCCATTATAACTACAAGAATTTTTGCTTTATATGCTAACAGTAGCTCTAGTTTGTAAGCTGGAATCAAACTGGAGGATAGAGTATAAAGGCTTTATGCTTGGGCCGATAAACCATTGACCAAAATTATTAGGCCTGAAATAGTCTAGAAATAGGAAGGCATGTACCCTCTGAGCATACTTTTCTCTTTAAGGAATTGCATTCTATTCTTCCTTTCCTTGTACTGCCTAAACTGTACAATATGGATTCTGCTGAATATAGGAAAGCTTCATTGGTTGAACACTGGTTGGCAATGAAAACTTACAGATTACTTCAGCATCCTGGTGGTAACCTTTGGTGTAATGCAGAACAGGATGAAATGAAAGGTGCTAAGAGTTTGGACATGGGAGAGACGGTACCCATTCTTCCCTCAGTTAAGCTGATCGGGATTTTTACAAATCTGTTATTTTAAAGAGTTTTGTGTCTTAAGACCAACTGAATGATCTTGTGAAGATAATTATGAAGGTTTGTATAAGAAAAAAAATATCAGGAGGGGGAAATGGCAAAAGATGTATAACTGGGAAATAATTCTGCTCTAAATGATTAAATTGTGGCCTCGGTTAAACATTTAAAATATAATGCTTTGTGTAAGATCTTTCTAAAGTGCTTTTAAAATAAACAATGCATATATTAATTCTTCTGGAAAATATGTTTCCTGCATGATTTATCTCTGTGTTACAAACTTCTTTTTTTGTCAGAAATGTGTTCTTTACAGGTCAAACATGCTTCTGCCGTATAAAGATGAACAAATTCTATCCAATTGTTTTAAGAAAAATATATAAAGTTACAATATAATTGCAGTAATCATGTGTGCAAATATAAAAATATATTTCAACTATTTCCCCATATGCCCAAATGATAATTTGAGATTCTATTTAGATGCTCTCACAAAATGGCAGCCAGTCACACAAACCCTATTAACAAAGACAGATTTTTCAGGATGCCTTCTAGGACCTCCTGCAGCCTTCCCAAATCATTCCCAGCCCCTTTATTTTTCTACTTTTCAGGAAAGGTAGGCACATTTAAATATCAGGCTCTTGCCATACCACAAGACAACTTCCTGAGACATGTTTCTATCTCAATTATACCTGCATTTTATTTTCATATCCCTTTGCATTTCAGTCAATTATTTGAGGCTGCTGGGGAGAATGAACCACATTTCTATTCAGCTCAGTTTCCAGCTTTTATCTTTGTTTATTTTTTAAAGAATAACATTAACTAGCAGAAAAAGAGAGCTTGAATAATTACCGTGCCTACGTGTTCCCACATCCTGCCTCCATTAACCTGAATGTCAACCACAACTGAACAATGGCTAAGCACTTGTCAGTAAATATAAACTACATTTTTGGAGTTACCTACGGCTCTAAATAAAAGCAAAATTGATGTCCTGAATTGTAAACATTATATGTAGAATATCCTGTTTTACTTGGGAATACAGTACTTTTGTGTATCTTTTCAGTATAACACAACTGTTCAAGTGTTTACCTCTGGGTCCCATGTTAACAATTTCTCCCTTAGAATTTGTCCGTCTGTCAACAACAAGGTGTCTGCAAATTTCACAGGAATGAAAAGGCTCTCATTAGGATCCTTAAGGAATTGAAAATTATTAGGTAAAACAGCATAACAAAACAGAAAAGCTTCTACACAATTTCATTAAGACCCACATGATAGATACTCCTTAACTGGTGATGAGATTTTTTTTATATATACAGTCTAAAGTGAATATGAATAAAAAGAAAAAAAGAGGGCAAATCTTGAAACAGATTGCAGAATAACTATCTGGGCCAACCATATTTCAAGATCACAGGGTGATAGTATCTGAGAAGCTGCAGTAGAAATGAGTATAAATGGCAAACAGTTGTCAGTCCACACTGGAAAATATTCCAGTTTCATTACTGTACAGGTAAGTCCTTGGTTTACCACAATTCATTTAGTGACTAAAGTTACAATGGCAGTGAAAAAAGTGACTGTTTTTCACACAACTGTTACAGCATCCCCATGGTCACATGATCAAAATTCAGATGCTTGGCAACTGACTTCATGGTTGCGGCATCCTGGGGTCATGTGATCACTGTTTGCAACCTGACAAGCGAGATCAATAGGGAAGACAGTTTCACTTATCAACCGTGTTACTAATTCAACAACTGCAGTGATTCACTGAACAACTGTGGCAAGAAAGGTTGTAAAATGGGGCAAAACTCACTTAACAAATGTATCACCCAGCAACAGAAATTTTGGGCTCAGTTGTGGTTGTAAGTTGAGGATTACCTGTATGTACTTGCAGATAAACTGAGAACTTGAGGTGCCAAAATGCACCTTAAAAATCGGATTTGGCTTATCTGCAAGTATATACAGTAATATTTTTAAAGTATTTAAAATTAAAAATTAACCCATATTTCCCATATACACCCACTGATAAACATCTGCAGATAAGCAGACCGCCAAAAACATGAAAAATGTGATTCATTTTATCTGTGAGTATGTATGGTATTTTGTTTGTTCTTGTTTATGCTACACTGGAGAGGTGGGCAAACTGAGGCCCCTGAGTCTCCTAATACTAGTTCCTTACTTAAATGTAACAGTTGCTGCTGGAGCTATGAAAAAGTGCCTGTATTCAAGTATTTCATGATCCCAGACTATAAGGACTGCTTGTTAGGTCAAAATAAACTCATAAAGAAATGTGTCATTTTGTTATCACATGCAGTCAATGACTGATCTAATTAGGACATGTAACGTCATTACTTATATTAAATTTATCATGTTTGCTCAATTATTAACTTTAAGCTCTGTTCTTATGCATGTGACATTACCTTATGTGCCGATTCTATCAGTGGAGCTTAAATATGGCAAGAATCAATCTGTTTAACTGTACTAAATGGAGAAGAAAGAAATTGGTGGCAAAGCCCACCACCAATCCAAAAGCACTTTATGTTATTATCGAGATTTTAATCAGATGTCATTATCATCTGTGTAAATTAATTCTACAGGGCACCACTAATCAATATGTACTATCTAAATAATTGCCTCAAAAACATGAATCTATACGCAAGAAAAGTATAAGAAGTATCCTGGTTTCTGCTCAGTGGGTATCACAGCTCAGCGTGTTCGGTGAGCAAACACACCACTGTCTCATTACAATATTTCATTGGAAAGATCAACATTCTGGGTTGATAATATCAGCTAGTATCAGATTTAAACATACCTCCAAATTGACCGGTTGGGTTTCATGTTGCATTAGACAAAAGGAAAATCTGCTGAGAATCAATCACTGGCTGGCAGAACTCCCAGCTGGAGAGAACGGTAGCATCTGATTGGAGTTGCTATGGTGAGGGAACTTGTTGATTTTTCTCCTGCTGTTGCCTGAGAAGAAGTGGGGCAGCTGAAAAGCAAAGAGAAGAGAGAAAACTTTGTGGGCAATGTGGCCGAAGAACCCATGTATTCAGTCCATAAAGCTCCAAGAAGTGGAGGTGGTGGGCCTGCTCACAGAGCCTTCCTTTCACATGGCGGTGCATGCAGTGGAGGTAATTCCCAGGACCCAGGTCCTTGTTGCAGATTCACTGCTCACTTCTTTCTGAACTGCTTCTCTTTTCCTTGTGGCTCTTTATGTTGATAATGCTGCCCCTGAGCTCTTCAAACTGCAAACATGGTATTGCAATGGCTCAATGAACGGTAGACTCTTCCAGAACAGAATTGTCGGTTGAGCTCAAGATTTCAACGTGTTTTAAGAAGTAATGAGTGGAAGCTTTTTAAAGAGGGATCCAACCTAGAAGTAAGGAGAAATTTTCTGACACTGAGAACAATTAATGAATAGAATAGAGCTGGAAGGGACCTTGGAGGTCTTCTAGTCCAGCCCCCTGCTCAAGCAGGAAAACCTATATCATCTCAGACAAATGACTGTCTAGCCTCTTCTTAAAAATCTCCAGTGATGGAGTGCCCACGATTTCTGAAGACAAGCTGTTCCACTGGTTAATTGTCCTCGCTGTCAGGAATCAATGGAATAGCTTACCTCCCAGAGTTGTAGGTGCTCCAATCACTGGAGATTTTTAAGAAGAGGCTGGACAACCATTTGACCGGGATGGTATAAGGTCTCCTGCCTTGAACAGGAGGTTGGACTAGAAGATCTCTGAGGCCCCTTCCAGCCCTACGATTCTGTGTTCTATGCTCTCAGTAGGCAGTTATAAGGTAGGCTTCTGTAACCTTAAAAAAATAATTCCCCTGGCAAATTGTCTATTCCTATGTTCCTCTTTCCTTCTGTAGCAGCTAATGAACTTATAAAATAAAATAAATTTCCTTCGGTTAGGTAGAAATAAAACTGTCATTTCCTTCACGCTGGAGAAAACTGCCCCCAGCTTGACTTTTTTTTTCAAATGTTTAGTTCAGTTGCTGAAAATCTCTGCAGATGTAGCCATATGGAGAATGTCACTCTAGGAGGGAATTATGACTGCAAAAAAAGTACTCTACTAAGAATATCTACTGAGATCAAGCAGCTATCTACATGAAGGCTGCTTCTCCAAGGCCACTTCATGTCAACTCACACATTATTATGAACAACTATGAATTAATTAGATGGGTAGACTTAAAGGGTGCTAACCAATTAAACCCAATGAAGTAATCCCTTGTTCATGAATGTGGAGAAGGCATCCATCCTGTAGCCTCTCATCTGCTTCAAAGAGTTGGCAGGGCTACAAAGAAAAGGAAGTAGGGAGGGGAAGAGCTACTCTGAACAAAATGGCTAATCCAAAGGGGAGTAACTAAAATTTGACATTTATCAATATCTCTCAAGAGTAGATTTTTTTGTAAAAGGATATTGACCTTCATTTGGATACGTAGTTCTGATGCTACATCATATTTATCTGTCAGTCCATTGCACATACCTCCTAGATTATGAGATTATGAGGTACAATGAAATATATTGTAGGGAGGGGTGGAAGCTAATTAAGGAATGCTAGGACCGTTCAGTTGAACTGATGTTTGATGGAAAAAGATAAATTTCTTGACTTGCAAATCTCACTGCTATCTCTCCATTGCTTAAGCTGTTTTAGCCATTTTACTCTTGTATAATAAATGCTGACAAAATTGACATCTTACCATTATCAGGTAAAACTTTTGCTTGAGATATGCCAGGAAGTAGAATTGTATAAATTCCTCTCTTATAAGTGATCCAAAAACATTGTTAGTTAAGTAACCTATATGATCTGCTATATGGTTATAATCAGTGGTGGGATTCAGCCGGTTCGTACCACTTCGGCAGAACCGGTAGCTAATTTTTTGTTGCCCAGACCTAGAACGGACTTCCAGAAGCGGCATCCACATAGAGAACCAGCTGTTCACATATTTGAATCCCACCACTGGTTATAATGGTTATGAATACTTTAGGAGCACCATTATAAAATATAAAACATGGCTCACTGTTTAAAACTTTTGTCTTGCATATTTAGACCCTTAGGAGAAATTTCCCTACCAAGATAGCTGAGCCTAAAGTACTTCCTTTATTGCAGTTTGCATGGGATGAATATCTACAAGAAAAAAAGAAGGTATATTTTAATTTCTGGCTATATTTATACAATATACTTATCTATAATTAACTAAATAGTTTTATTATTCTAATTTTCCGAGTTTGCACACCACACTGAACTGCAAAGTAATTATACTGTCCAACATGATAGACTTAAGCGTAGGTGGCTAATTTCTGCTTGTGTGACTTTCAGGTCAAATTAGTCTAAATTAAGGAGAAGTGGTTTGTTTGAGGTCTAACTGTATAGCATATTAAACTAAATTAAGGTTTGTTGAATAAACCACAATTGACAAAGGCCTTATTCTGTGCTTAGTTGTAAGCTGGAATTCCACAATAAAATGAGCCACAATGGGCCTAATAATATGATGCATGAATACAACCAGTGAATCTACAATTGAAGAAGCAGAAAGATGGGTTAGAAATTCAGTAATAAATAGGAAATCCTGATCAACCTATGTAATGCTTCCAAACTTGAATTTTTTAGCAAAAACTCATCATTACCTTTTCAGATCTATTCTTAATTTTATCACCAATGTAAAATGTTTAGTGATCTTCTATAATATGTGTTTTAATCCTTAACATTGCTATTTTGTTTTCTGATCACAGGAACTGAGGGGTGAAACATGGGAATATCCATCCAATGTGATGTGTTTTGTTGACGACCAGCTTCTTGGAGATGAAAAAATGCTGCTGAAGTGGGCTTATGATGTCTGGGATTATAAAGACTTTAAGCCTATAGCACTTTATGAAGCAATTACATCAGATTTCCTCACAAAATACTTAAAAGCCAAAAAGGTGATATTTGGGTTTTTAGAAGTCTCACTGATGAGTATACGATATTTGGAGTTTACATAAAATCCAGTGTAATTCATTTGTTTAATTTTATAAAGTTGGCTCAGAAAAGTCTTTAGAAAATTAAGAATGATCAACACAATTTCAACTCATAAATTTTCTCCCATTTTGGGGGTGGCTGTAGCCATCATTTCTGTGGTACTTAAGTCACATAAACCTTGCTAATCACTAACCTTAAAATCATAGATTTAAATCCCTCTCTTCTTTGTATCATGCTTTATAGGTAAACACCAATAATAGTTTCTGACAGATTTATGGCTGTCCAAAATCCCACCCTCCAGGAAAGTCCAAACAATCCTCACAAATAGACTAAAATAGATTGCTACTGACATTTCCAAGCCAAGCAAGGATATAGCAGCATCCTTTTTAAATTGAAATATTGAACTCTTCTATGTGGGAGGTCGTACTATATATCATTGTCAGTGATGTTGGAGCCATGATAAGCCCGCTTGTAACTCCAGGGCCATCACTGGCTGCATGATTCAAGGCCATGGGTCTTTTATGACTTGTAGACTTCAACTCCCAGAATTCCTCAGCCAGCGTGCCTGGCTAAGGATTTTGAAGGCCTCTGCTCAAGGCAATATCACTTTCTTGTTACTTAGTTTTCCATTGTATTTTTTTAGAAAATATGCAACATGCCAGCTGAAAAAAGCGGGGATTGTCAGTGAGAGAGTAAGTGATTAAAAGCAGGCAGCCGAGGTCCAGAGCAAGGTCTGAATGCTTGTAAGGGCTGAGCTTGGCAGGAACCAGCAATTCCAAGGCAAATATCAACCTTCCCACGAACATCTTTCAGCTGTCTCTCAAGGCCATCGTGAGTCTGGTCAATATCATGAATTCAGAAAAGCAGGAAGAAAAAGCCTACAAGCTGTAGCATAGCTGTATCTGAAGGCTGTGAATTCTTTGCATGGCTATGAGTTAACAAACAATTTAGTTTAGGGCTTCACTCTTAACTGCCATAAAGATTCTAATATAGCCATGTCACATCTGAGAATTTTCTGCCAACTCAAGCCAAGTGCTTAATAAGGTGAAATATCTGGAATGCTGTGAGTTTCTGCTGAGTCTGATGCAAAAACTGACAATGTGTACATGCTATGGTAGTTTGGTACAGCTCAGCTCTGGGATGGAAAATAAATGCTTAGCCCTTTTACAGTAAAAGGCTTGTTGGATGGACTACATTCTCAGTCCATTTTGGGGACCAAATGATCCCAAAAGCTCAGACAGAAAGCTCACGAAAAAACCTCTGCTCCTACCATGTCAAGAATGCATTGTGGAACACAGGAGATCACTCACTGTGAAAGTTCACAGATTGTCTTGTAAAAACTGTTTTGATCTCAGGCTTAATGCCTGCTAAAATAGAAGTGCTATAACGAAGCTGGAAATAATTTCATTCTAATCATTCAAAAAGGAGGAGGGTTTCTTTTTTAAAAAAAACACCCATCTTTTCAGTATCATTTTCTCTAATTTGCATTAATACATACTTTTTTAAAAACAATGTTGTTGCCTTCAGATAGTTCCAACTGTGGCATGTGCAGACCAAGCTGTCCCTCGACAGACGTGCTTTCAATATCCTGGTTTATGTGGTGACTTTCATTCCATTCATTTTTATGTTTATTTATTACTAAATTTGTACGTCACCTACCTCACTATCCAAAGTTATCCATTTACTTCACTGAGTTTAATGTAGACCTTCATAGAACCCTTATGAAGCTTTGACACACCCTTCCCAGTAACAGTGAAGAAGTGGAAAACTTGGGGATGATCAGGAATTAATTCAACCCTTAAAACACAGTTTGCCTGCCCAATGTAAATGTCTACTCCTTGCTTAAATTTCACAGATACATTGGATTGTTCTATATATTCTCAGTTCACATTTTATTTAAGACCCTGAGCCTCTGCTATTAACATGTACCCTGGAATATTTCCAGATTCATCCACATAATGTCTGAGTTCTTTGAAAGATTAGTTGATGATTACTGATCAAATCTCCTAACCGTAAAATATTGACAAGCCATAGAGCTTCAGGAAAATGCTGATGAAATAACTACTTACTGGAATTTGACCCTTTACCTTCTGAAGCATGACTCAGAGTCAGAAGGGAGCAATCTTTATCCAGTGATTCACTCACTTGGCTTTACTTTAACCATAGGGTTTGGTTTCTTTATCTTGGCAGCATATGTTTGTTTTCATGGAAATAGCAATTCAGGAAGTTTCGATTGGAAAATTGCTCTTTGAGGTAAGTTGCCCAAGGAAAAGACACCCAATCCTTGTTTTTATCATGTACATGGAAGCAAATACACTTATGTTTAAAACTGTTACTTAAACAATTGAGGTCCACTTCCTGATGTGAGATCAACTACGCATTGGAACATGGATGGAAGTTGGAGAATGACTGCTCATCAGAATTATTTGAGTGACAATGCAATAGTTTGGACTCTTTTGTTTTAGGCTCTCCTGAGCCTAAAGTATAAGAGTTCACCTTTTTCAAATATTGTTTTGATCAGTCAGTTTTATTTTAAAATATGTACTTATGACCATTAATGGCTGTAAAGTAAAGTACATTTTATGAACTCAATTTTTATATAAGTACTTAAACATTTCATATGAAAAGTGTCACCTTAGAAGGTAAAGTCCCTTATATATGTATGCATAGGCATATGTGTAACAAGGAGAAAGGAATGACTTTTAAAGTTGATGCAAGGCCTCCTCAGAACACAAAAACAAATATATTTTGATTTAGATTTTTTTCAAAAGCAAGCTTATGCTTATTTGATGAATTAAATGTTTAAAACTTAAAAGATTTATTAAAGCTGCAATCCAATAGACTCTTGCTGCCCACTCTCCTCAAACGTTTTTGCTTCTCTCTAAACATATTTAACATTGTACCAAGAGTTTTCCAATCAAGCAGTTCTCTCTCTCTCTCTCTCTCTCTCTCTCTCTCTCTCTCTCTCTCTCTGTGTGTGTGTGTGTGTGTGTGTGTGTGTCTATTTCTGCATTGTGTCCTTGTGAATATCCCAAGTGATATGCTATTATACAACATGCAAACATTAAAATCAGTAAGTTATCATATAACACCATGGAAAATAAATCTGTCCATTCCCTTTCTTAAAACTTAAACTAAAAGCTCTTTAGAAGAAAAGGAGTTTAATTGCCTCCTGAAACATAGCTTAAACATTGCCAGATGTTCCAAAAAAGAGGCAACACCTTTAGCAAGGGCTGTTAGTTTTGTTGCTTTATTGATAAGCTGAGATGGGTGAAATGATAGTGAACAGTTGGACTGAGACAGATCAGTAATTTCTAAGTCACCATAAAATAATAGAACAGATAACAGTAGGAGGGCATGCTCAAGACCTCAATCTCTGAGTCATGATTCTTTGTTCCCATTTTAAAATGCATTGTCTTTTCTCATGAGGATAAAACACCCATTTTTAAAAGATGTCACAATCTTTAGATTGATAAAATACCTGGAATATACAAAATTAATTGTGATCCCTTCATCTCATAAATTAATGTAATGTTTCTTTTCCCACTGACCTCAGGAACTGAGCTTCTGAAATGTTCCATATTCTTCTTCTATTGTCCAGCTCTATTCTGACATTTGCCCCAGAACATGCCATAATTTCAAGTGTTTATGTACAGGAGAGAAAGGGGACTCTGAGTCTGGATTGGCACTCACTTACAAGGATTCAATTTTTCATCGAATTGTAAAAAATGGCTGGATACAAGGAGGAGGTA